AAGAATAATCCAATTGATTATGATTGAGTTGGATAAATCAAACTCAATAAATCAAAATCAAAATTGCATTCAAATCTAGAATTTTAGATCATAATTTAAGGATAAAGGCCCATGTGCTATAACCCTTTTTTAGTGATTTTTCAATCACCTCAAAACCCAATCAAATGACCCTGATTCATGATCTATCAATTGCATATTGATTAAGCATGTCCTTAGGATAACCCATTCAAATTTGAGACTGATTTGAGACCTCTAACCCCAGAGACTCAATTGAAATCCAATGACCATAAAACTTTCAAATATTTACAATCTATGCCACTTGGCCTTTCACATTGTGGAATTTGACCTTGGAACCTTCCCAAAAACCCATGAACATATCCATAACCCTTGTTATGATATGTTGAACACTAAACTACACTTTGGTGGATCTATGTTGACCTACAGTTGACCAGGGGTCCAAATGACCAAAATGCCCTTAAAAGGGAAAATTGGACTTTTCTCTAAGCCTCAATATGGCCCAGTAAAAATCAAATCATGAAACCTCCTCTAATGCATCCTAAACATCATTATGAGTACATTGGACTCAAATTTTAATCTTGTTCAAGTATGGTTGACCAAGTCAACTCATATTGACATAGTTTACCTTTGAGGGTCCAAATGGCTATTTTAAGTCAACTAGTCATTCTATTGATTATGAACAAATCCACTAGTCTCTAAACACTCTTCTGAACTTGTTTGACCCAACTCCAATCCTTAGTCTAACCTAGTTGACGAGGTCAACCATGGTATACCAGATCAAACATGAACCATAGTCCCTTAAGTCCATAACATTGCCCAGCTTAGTGCACTGACAACTATGACCTCATTCATGTCCATATCATTTCACAAGGAGCACTATACTTCAATTCAATCATGACTGGCTCCTCAACCAATGATTGACTCAATGTGGCCTAATTGAGCTAGCTTGGGCTAACTCAATTGTTCACCAACATTAATTACCTTTTAAAATTC